TTTTTTTTTTCTTTTTTTTTAGGATATCGAAAATCATACTTTAAAGCAATCTGTTCTTTCCCCATTGATTTGTAATGTATATCAAAATCTTCACATACATATAGGTTTATCTTGGAGCTCAATATTCTGTTTCCCTGTTCCATTTGTTTATGCAGAAAACAGTAACTGTCTTAATTTTAGTGCCTTTACTGTCTCCCCTTCCCCCTTCCCCAACCAGGGGAAGGTAGTACGGAGGGGTGAACTAAGGATATGGTTGTATCTTATTATCTGGTTGGCAGGACAAATCTTCCCAACTTACCTTCTTCAAAATGTTTTCTGGGTATATTTCAAATCTGTTGCTTTTCTTTAGAATTCTAAGATGTATTTGTCAAGTTCCTTATTAAATCCTGCTGGATTTCAAATTTATAAATTAATTCTAGGACATACTGTTTTACCATGTTCTATTGGTTAAAGAACATATATACTCAGGTCTCCATTTATAATGCATTCTATAAATGTCTTGCCTATTTGTTCAGATGTATTCTTAGGTAACTAGAAGAATTTTTACTGTTGTAAATAAGAGTACTTTATCCCCGTGGCACTCTTTACTTGGATAATACTGGGGTATAGCAACACCTGTTTTCTGTATTAATCTCAACAAAACAGCTTTCAATTTGTTGGGCTCTTATTATCTCTAATAACCTATTGTATGTTCTCTGCGTTTTTTAGACAATCTAATCAGTTCCATTACTTCCTTTCCAGTTTTTGTTTTGTTTTGAGACAGGGTCATGCTACACAGCCAGGACTGGCTGTGAACTCTCCTGGAGCGCTGGGATTACAGGTACACCACCATGCCTACCAGAATTTTTTTTTTCATTTTCTCCTTTATGAAATTTATTGGGATGACACTATTCATTATATTTACTATTTTCAAATCTACTGATTTGTAATCATGTCCTATATTTCATTTCTAATGATTTGTCTTTTTATTTTCTTTTTCTGATTAGTCTTTTTTGTTTGTTGTTCTTTTTGGCAGTACTGGAGTTTGAACTCAGACATTGCACTTGCAGGTACTCTACCACTTGAGTTCCCCACCCCTTTTAGCTTTAGTTATTTTTGGATAAGTCTTGTGTTTTTCCACAGAAAGGGCCTCAGGCTACAATCCTCCTACCTATGTATGCCTCCCATACAGCTGAGATCACAAGTATCACCACACCCAGCTTGTTAGCTGAGATGGAGTCTTGGTAACTTTTTGCTAGAGCTCGCCTCAAACTATGATTGTCCCCAATTTCTACCATCTCAGTAGCCAGGATTATGCACCACTGTGCTGGTCCTCTTAATAGTCTTATTAGAGATATGTCTACTGAAATACTCTCATTTTTCATTGTTAATATTTTCTATTGCCTTTTGCTTTTCTATCTAACTAATTTCTTCTCTTGCTTGTATTATTTCCTTCATTTATTTTGTAGTTTTTAAAATAAACTTGAGGTAAATATTTTGTGATTTTTTTTCCATGAGCATTTTTCTCATTTCTAGTCATCTTGTTTTAACTATCATTCTATTTTAAATGATTATATAATCTGTGATTAGGAAACTAAACTGACATATCAGTTCTTTAGTATCTGTTGACCTTCTAGAAAAATGATGACAATATGAAAAGTTTTATGTATCATAAGGTTCAGACATACTACAAAAAGTAAGCTGAAAATACTTGGCCCCATGTGCTATCCTAAGTGTTTTGTTTTTTCATTTCTTTGGTACTGTGGTTTGAAATCAGGGCTTTGCACTTGCTAAGCAGGTGCTTGCTCTACCGTGAATATCCTGTGTCTCTATGTACTAACTTGAATGATCCTCATAATATTCTGAGCCAGGCAGGCATATTATCCCTGTTTTACAGTTGAGAAAAACCAGAGCACAGTAAGTAATTTGCCCAAGGTCACTTAGGTTACTACATGCCCACCTTTTTACTGCCATGCTCTCCAACTTTGTAAAATACAGTATGTATTTCTTGGATAGAGAGAGGGTTTGGTGTGTCTATTAAATCTAAATTATAAACCTGACTTTTCAGAACTCTTATAAAAATACCCTATTTTCCTACTTATTCTCTCTAAAGGTTAAATCTGCTACTGTAATGGAATTATCAATCTCTTCTTATCCTTACTTTTTAGCTATTTTAAGACAATGTAAGGTACATTCAAATTCATGACTGCTTTATTGAGGAACTGTTTATGAGATAGAGTCCCTTGTTATCTGTTATTTCATCTTTCCCTTATCCTATTTACTTGCTATTAAACTTGTTTATATGGGGTTTCGTTTTCTTTCCAGTTAAAGGTTAGGAGGTACATTTTTACCTATTCCCTTATTTTTAATATTATCTTGTGGCTTATAAGATGTATCTTTTTTTTTGGGGGGGGGGTCCGGTCGTGGGGCCTGAACTCTGGGCCTGGGCGCTGTCCCTCAGCTCTTCAGCTTAAGGCTAGCTCTCTACCACTCGAGCCACAGCGCCACTTCCGGCTTTTTTCTTTTCACTTACGTGGTGCTTAGGAATCGAACCCAGGGCCTCATGCATGCAAGGTAAGCACTCTACCACTGAGCCACCTTCCCAGCGCCAAGATGTATCTTTTATCAGCAGTATAAAGTTGAGATTTTTAAAAAATCTAAGCTGGTATGCTAACATTTATTTCTATATTGTTGCTTTATGCTTTCACTTATCCTTTTTTCCATTGTTTCCTTCCTTACTGACTGAGGTTAAAATAGTGTTCGACCACTAAGCAAGACCTTGAGTATCCTGTTTTCTTTGAATTATTAACATTTTCAATGTTCCCTTAGTATCTTCTCTGTTGTGTCTTTATGGGCCAACAAATTAACCTATAGTACAGCTATATCATCTCTCAAAGATTAAGTTTGAGGCTAGCATCAGAAAACAAAGTCAAGTTTTCAGTTCATTTCCATAAACAGGAAAATGAAACTGAATCTTATATTGATAAGAAAATGAATATTAACTTTGAAACAAAGTAACCACTAATGATAAGGCATCATTATTAAAATTAAAGTATCTATAGGAAAAATTATCTTCACTGCAGTTATTTCTGTTATTTTAAATAAGTCCTAAGACAAATAATCTGTTTTTCTTTTTCTTCTATATTTCAAATCCATAGTTTAAATGAACTTTCCTCCCTTTGTGATTGTAAATTTGTTGTAGGCATTAGGGCAGATAGATTATAAGTGTTTCACAACCTTTGAGGCTTCCAACTCTTTAATTTTGTCTTCGGCCTCTGTCAGTTTATCTTTCAAAGCTGCAATTTCCTTCTCCATGGGCATCACAACAGACCGAAGTTTCTCAGCATCCTCTTGGGCCTATGGTTATAAAGAGTTAAATACAACTTACTCATACATTGTATTTCTAAGAAACTCTTGACTGACCAATGTGCCAAAAATTAATGTAAAATAACAGTACTAGGCACTTCATTTTATAATTATTCACAAGTGAATTAAGTTTAATTTTTAAATGGTGCATTACTAGGAATATCAAATGATTAAAATGTTCCCCAATTTTTTCATTTAGAATTTTTTAGTGAATTTGAGAAATTAATTCAATGCAACATGTTTTGAGTTCCTTTTAATTTTTAAAAGATTTTTAAATCAGTATTACATTAGTTACAGGAGGGGGCTTATTATGACATTCATGTATGCATATGACATATCCCATCAACTCATCCTTGATTTTTTTTTATTGTAAAAATACTGTACAGAGGGGTTACAATTACATGGGCAAGATAATGAGTACATTTCTTATCAAGCATTGTAGCCTCCTCCTTTGTTTCCCCTTCCCATCCTTCCCATCCT